AGGCGGCCCTGCAGACTCGGCTTCAGGGCACTCGTCTCTCGGCGCCCGCCCTTCTCCCCAGCCCTGCGCCCCTCCTTCCCCGGACTGCCGGGCAGTTCCGAGCGGGGCTTAGATTAACCCTCGGCTTCCTCTTACGGTGCTTGGGATCCCTCATTTTCCATATCCGGTTGCTTTTCTTTAGACTGGCCAGCTCGGGAGTCCCTATCTCCGGTCACAGATCGCACGTTCTTTTGTCCTACAGCAAGCACGGCTCTGGTGACTCTCCTGACTATCTTCCTGCATCAGCCTCCACTGGCTCTTACACGTGACGGACAGTCTCTCTGGAAAGAGGGGAGCTGCTGTGAGAATAAAGCCAAGGCAGTGGTAACGCCTCCGTTTATCCCTGTTCCTGGGCATAGGAACGAATTGTATCCTGCATTTACAACTATTTTAATTGACCGTTTATTCTAGGGGTAACCATGACAGCTTGAACCTCTTCCCTTTCAGTCAGTAAGGACTTGGCAAATTAATAGTTATGTTGATTGTTTCTAGGATTAAGTGCCGCAGTTCACTGGCTCTATCATGTAATGCTAGATTGAGCTGGGTCTTGTTACACACACGTGTGTTTGTGTGTTCATCTCCTTCTGAACAGGCAGGTTCTGGACTGGTGTGACATGCTAAAAGGAGGGTCTCTGATCAGAATTGCTCACATTCATGAGTTTTGTTAAAGGATCCAGCCTAAGTAAAGGCATTGTTTCTGTTTGAGGACATTAATTAGAGATGAACTAAATTCTGCAGAGAAAAGTTGATTGTGGAGAGAAATAAATAGCATAGCAACCCTGAACGCTGTGTGTTCAACACCTGATTATGCAAATATTTTATTTTTTTTTTCTGGGGTCTGTCAAACTCCTATTTAACCTTAGTAGAAAGGGATTTCAGTGGTGCTGGGCTCACAACATCCTCCACTGAAGGCTCTTAAATTACAAATAAAACATATGAAACCTCTTCAGTAAGCCTCATGTGTCAGAGGAAAAGACAGAGACAGAATGCGCTCAAGGTTACAGAGATGTTTTCTGGCACAACTGGGAAAAACTGCCAGAGCTGTGGTGTCCTGTCCTTGGTCTTCATCTGCCAGACTTTGCCGTTCTGTTGCAAGAAGACACCTGAGGTAAACCAGCCCTGCTGTCAGGGAGAGCAGGGGAGAGGGGACAGCAGGCAGCTGTCCTTTAGTTCCCCTTGGTCGATCTGGGCCCATTTATTGCTCGTGTCAGTAAACAATCTTGTTCTTAAAGGGTTTCTCACTGAACACAAGGACACTTGGGGGATGACCTGCTGTTATTGTGCTGTAAAGAAGGATGATAAGGAGAACTTGGAGACATATTGTGATGGTCTTTGCAGCTCCCCCTGCAACGAGCTGCATCCTTTTCTGATGCATGCTAATTTATAAATAGACACGATTCCACAACTCGGAGAAAGCTTTAGTCTCTCCTTGTACTTGATATATGTGATACTCTGCAGTAGAGAACAGATATTTGTACCAGATTCTGCTCCCATGGAAATGGGCAGAAGAAGACTCAGAGGCAAGGGGTGAAATAGCATCAGGGTTATCTCTTGTCCTCAGCTCAGAGGTCCTATTACAGCCAGTCTGAAAGGCCAGGAGACGCCCTTGGATTTAGCAGCACAGTCTCGAGTGTATGCGTGTGTCTCTGCTCAAGATGAACATCCTGTTGTTTGCAGAGTCCAGTTACAGCTAAAGCTAAAAAAAAGTATCTGTCTGCATAAACAGGAATTTTCCTCAATTGCAGGAGCCAGCAGAGGACACTGCTTTGTCTCTGTCTCTGAAAGGGCTGAGTAATGTTTTGTTTGTTTGTTTTGTACTTTTTGCTGCCTTCCTCCAGCTCCATGACTTTGGTGGCGCCTTTGGCAGAAGAACAGTTGCCATTGCTTCCATTTTATCCGTATCCACCAGAGGATTTTGTTTTCCAGACTGTTTGCTGCTGCTGAAGCCATAGCAATAATGCTCCTGGTACAGCTTTACTTAAGGGAGGGAAGAAACAAAACCACATGACAAATTGGTCCAATTTATCACAGCAACAGAAACCTGCAATTCAGCTCAATCGCCCCCACAGGCCAGCTTAGACAGCATCAATATTTAATGACCTGAGTGCCACTGCCTTCACAGCTTGGGCTCCACAACTGCCCCTTGTTGCGGGTACCCCCCAGGAACATCACCCCACTAGTGTGGAGAGCACCCCCAGAATTCCTCTGGGTGAGAAGGTCTGCCTTCAGCCTGCCAAGTCAAGTCTGCTTGCTACCCAAAGGGGCACAGTCCAGACCTGCTGGGTATGACCAAACTCTGCCCCTTTTTCCTGCCTGGCTCGACCGCCCGTGCCATAGGTTTATGCCCAAGTAACAGCTCTAGGCTTTCTGGGCATGCCTGGGATCTGTGGCAAACAGGAAAGCAGGAGTAGGACTGGACCACTGCAGCTCCTGGCCTCTCCTACAGTCTTTTTTTGGGTGATTGTTTAACACAGACAGGACTGTTCACTTGGTAGCAAGCTGGAGGTGGCTTCTGTTCAGCTGTTTATGTCTGTTCCCATTATTAAGGCAGGAGTATTCTATTCCAAAAGGAGCTGCAGTGAAATAAAATGCCAGAAACATGTCCTGCACACAGTGCAGAAAGACTTGAAAAGAGGGTGAGTCAAGCTATGCCAAATCTCTCCCACTGTGAGCCAAGCGGGGCATCAGAGGAGGTTTGGGAGTCTCTTTTACTGGGCCCAGGCTCTGAACTGGCCACAGCAATTGGCATCCAAGAACCTCTCCCAGCTCCACCCCAGCATGTGGCCCCTTTTGGGCTTGCTCTGCCTGGGACAGTAACAGGAACAAGTGACAGGTTATACAGCTATATATAACCATAAGCATGTTCCCTCATGGCTTTCTTTCCTGTTTCCCTAGTCTGTAAAATGGATGTGACTGCAATCTCCTGGTGACAAGCACAAAGTAAAACAAAGCATTTTTATCAGAGCTGTGGTGGAGCAGAGGAATTTGTGTTGCTGGACCAGCAACTTGAATTCCTCCAGCAAAACAGCATCTTTCACTAGGTTCTCTGTTCACTTGAAAATCCCCATGATTTAGCAAATTGCATATTCCAAAGGGGGAGTTCATTATCCACTCCACTGGCAGTGAGTGGCAGAGGCCATTACAATAAATGGCATTTTGGGAAGATGGCTCTCTAACTCACTTGGTATTAACACTGGCTGTGGGGGCTCAGCTCTATGTAAGATACATTCAGCAACGCCCTTTTGTGATCATCTCCCTGTGCTAAGGAGCTGTTAGAATAAGGGTGATTAGGAATAAACCTAAGAGCAGAGGTTTCTGCACCAAAATAGTTTGGGCCAGAGGCTGCATGGCCAAGGGGATGATGGTGTGTAAAGAAGACTCAGGTATTTAGAAGGGAAAAGCTGGCTTGCTGCAGTTTGTCCAGAGATGCTGGACCATTTCCAGTGCCAGAGCTTGGCTGCTGAGGGATAGCTTCCATCCCCTGGAGCACCTGGTGACTGCCCCCAGACCCTCTGCTCTTGTAGTTATAGGGCACCTGTCTTGTTATGGCCATGGCTCAAAACTAACCAGCAGAACTGTGCAGAATAATATGTAACTCAACAGACACCTAGAAGCGCCCTAGCAAATACTAAATGGATGGTTCCATCAGTTAACTGTCCAAGAAAGGAATTGTAAGCCAATTCAGTGCATTCCAAATCACAGCTCTGTGAAAAAAAGTTAACACAGAGCACAGCTCTTCCTCCTGGCAGCCATCCAGTTATTAATTTCCATGTATCAGCTGCATCTGAATGGGCTTGGTCTTCCGCCCACTGTTTCTATTTATTTGTTTTCCATTCATCTCCACTAAAATTAAAAACTCAAAGCCTTCCAGAGAGAATGGAAAACAAACATGCTGAACCAATACTGCTACCCACATACAACCAGCAGAAACCATGGCACTTTTTCCTCCTTTGCAGTGAGGCAAGATCTAATTTTTAAAGCTCTGGTCTTTCACCTGAAAAATAACACAAGTAGCTGTGGCATTAGCACAGTATCAAATTATTGTTCCAGACATTAGTAGGCAGCACCCTTCAGCTCTTGGCTGTAGGTGCTCCAGGTCACAGTGCCTGCAGAGACCCTGTGCTGGAGATCTTTCTGGATGAAGCAACTTCTGCATGGTTTAAGAAGACAGAGCTGATGGTCCATATGGTGACATTGGCTGAGAGTTTATGGGTCAGGATTAAAGGGAGGGCAGCAACTGGTGACGTAGTAGGGGTCTGTTTCAGATTGCCAAAACAGGAAGACTGAGCTGATAACATCCTCTACAGATAGGAACAGCCTCATGTTCACAAGTCTTGGTCCTCATGGGGGACTTCAACCACCCCAATACCTGTTAGCGGGACAACACAGAGGGGACAGGCAATCCAGGAGCTTCCCAGAATGCACTGCTGATTACTTCCTTCTCCAAGACATAGACAAACCAACAAGGAGAGGTGCAATGCTGGACCTTGTCCTCATCCACAAGGAGGGGCTGGTGGGGAATGTGAAGTCCAAGGGCAGCCTTGGCTGCAATAACCATGGAATGGTGGAATCCAGGGTGGCAAGAAGGGTGCACAGCAAGCTGATGTCCACTACTCAGCAGAGAGCAGACTGGCTTCTTCAGGGACCTGCTTGGTGGGGTACCCTGGGATAAAGCCCTGGAGGACCCAAGAAAGCTGCTTAATATTCAAGAATCACATTCTCCAAGCTCAGGAACAATGCATCCTAACAAAAAGGAAGTCAGGCTAAAGCACCAGGAAGCCTTCATAGATGAACAAAGAGCTCCTGAACAAACTCAAACAAAAGGAAACCTACAGAAGGTAGATGCAAGGACAGGTAGTCTGGGAGGAGTACAGAGAAAGCACCCAGCCTTCCTCGCATTTTTATGATTTCCTGTTGGTGTCTTGGTTTGTTCAGGACACATCTTTATTTCAAAGCACATCACCTGATAAAATGTTTTGCTATAAAATCCCAGGCTTTTACAATGGCCAGATTCTTTATGCATCTCAGTGTGAATAAGAACTGAGAAGCCAAAAGTCATGAATTTATTTTTAAAGTGATACAAATTACAAAATACCTTAATTTACAATAACAGTATTTAAATCCTATTTGAAACACCACAATCAATAGCATCCAACTGTTGATGTACAGGAAGGGATTCTTACTAGGTAAAATGCACTAAAATAAGGCCTTGGTCTTTTTCAGTCTTTTTAATATGCTTTCCTTCCTTAGAAACATACACAAGTGAGTGCATAGTGCACATATGACTCTGGTTGAATGTGAAATTCTTGTGCTTGTTACCTAAAGGGACTTCCTTCCTCCAATAAAGAGAGTTTCCAGTTCTGTGTTTATGGCATCGTCAGGAATTACATCATCCTCCGTAAACTCATCTCCAAGCTTCCTCCACCATGGCAAGCGAGTGTATTTTAGCATAGTGTTGTGGGTCTGTCTTGCCTTGGTAGCTACAGGGATTGATCGACTCATAAAGGTACCAAGATCTTTTTCTGTGGTCTCTGCTAAACCTGGAGCATCTACAAGAACAAGGAGAAGAGTTTTCTATATTTTGTTTGTAGTTTCCTGAGTACTAGAAAAAAAAAAAAAAAAAGAAAAAAGGGAAAAAAGGAACACTACCCTCCCACTTCCCACTGTCCTAGGTCACTCCTTTCCCCGTACTGGCATTGCAATTCTATTACATGATAAATCATAAATCTTACTGGTGAGACAATCCAAATAAACATTAATCTGAAAAAATAAATACATAATAGGGTAGAAAGAAGAAAGGGAAAAGATGGACTATTTCTTTCAGGTGCAGTGGTGGCATCTACCAAAATGATTTCTTGTGGAAGTATAACCTCAGAGAATCTCCTGGTCACTACTATGGATCAGCACTCCTGGTGCAGGGAGACATCAGCACACAGCTCTGGTGCAGCAGCACTGTGGTTTCCCTGCTTGGGGCACCCAGCACAGTGTAATAGTGTGCTGCTGATTTGCCTGCTCAGAGAGTGATGAGCTGCAGTGACACAGCACGTGACAGACTAAATAATGGAATTCACTAACTTGATGAATTCTGCCCGGCTTGGGTGCTCTCTGGTGGCTGCAGCTTGCTACTCTTGCTCTTTCATGCAGCCACTTGTCTGGAATTAAGATAGCACAGTAGTGAATTATGTTTCACTAAAAGCCAGGCCAGAGAAAATGGAAACATGGAATTTGCAGCTCAAAGATTTCCCTCTTTATCTGGAAGGGGTGAGAGTGTTTTAGCCAGCAGCTTACAACACAAGAAAATAAACCAAAGCAAAACAAATGTGAATAGGGTGAATAGGTTGCATGAGACCCCTTTTTAAGAAATTCTAATGCCTGTTACAGGGCAATTGCTTTTCTTGTGAACATATCAGAGACTTTCATCAGAAGAATAAAATGCTCCTTGAAAAGCAGGTGTTTATCCTTAACCTACAGCAGCACTTGGATAATCTCTAACAAAGCCTGGATCTCAAGATATGGCATATGGCAAAGGAAGAAAGATATTTCAGTTTTGAAATAAGGCTTTAGCACTGCTCACTCTAATTTTCCCTCTAAATTGGTTTAATCCAAATGGTAATCAAAACCATGAGCAGAGCAGTCACATACTCATTAGCAGCTCCACATCAGTGTTGACCTGAGCCAGTAAAGCCTCTCTCCGCTGTGCTGCTCTCTGATCCAGCCTGCTCCTCAACAGGAACTGTGCCAACTTTGTCTGAGCCTGCATATGCAATTCTTTACTCGTTTCTTCTGACATTTGGGAAGCCTGGAGGAAAATAAATTTGTTACTGTTAGAAGCTGGGTATTTTAAAACTTCTGGGGGCAGAATAATGCCTAAACAAGGAATGCAAATGCTGTTCATAATTGTTAACTTCATAATTTTGCTTCCTCTGCAACTCTCTTCAAAATTATCCATCATCATATATATAAATTTTCCAATTACAGTTTGCTTTGACACTTTTTATTAGATTAATGGTTAAATCCCCAATATCCTAGTGCCTTGCTGTCAAACAAGCAAGGTTAATACATACATACCTTAAATGGCTTATCTTGATCATAATTTATGAAGCTGAAACTATTTCATCCCCACAGTATTTTATGTTACATCATTAATGCAAATTATGAAATGACTAAGAAACAGACCGGATGCAATTTGATGTAGTCATCCACCTTCTGCTGCAAAGCTAGTCTCTGCTCATCAGTCAGTCCCTTGGGTCCTTTCCAAGGAGAGAGAGGTCTCCTCCTTCTTCGTTTCTCCAAGAATTTACAAGCCTTTGTAAGGAACATACGAGAATATGACAATCACAGAGAGGAAGTTTGTCTTCCCGCTTTGTTTGTAAACAATCAGTGAAAGTCTTTCCGTACTACATCTGTAAAAGCCTAAATGCAGCTATGATGTAGAAAAGACAACATACAAGGTCAGCATGAACACTGTGGAGTAAGTAACAATACTCATAATAAGTTACTGACTCATCTGTAGTATGATGACATTCCAATCCTCAGTTTCAAAGAAGCAGCTTTTATATTTCAGTTATAGCTTTGTAGCCTATACAGCGTTTAACCCTTTAAAGCAACTTGTGGCTCTAGACCATCATCCCTGAGCAATTTTTTAATAAATTATGGCTACATTAACAGTAAGAGAATAAGCAGAGCTTTATGAGGCTTCACAATAATCCTATCTACTATTAGAACAAAGTATAAATACTTACTGCTCTCTGAATGATGATAGCTGCCTTATATTCCTTAAGAGATTGTTTCTGCTGATGAAAAATTCTTCTTGCTCTATGCCCTCGCCAGAATCTCTGGATAGTTAATGCTGACTTCTCCTCCATTTCCTGCATGTATTTATTCACCTGACCTACAAAGGTAACAAAAATCCACAGTTACAAGACTGTGGGTTAGGTTCTCTTAAAAATTTACATTGTTAATCCTCAGACTAGATAGTACCAAAAAAGCTTGGGTGCTCTCAGTTAAAAGCCCCTCTTCCCCCAAGGTCTCCCAGCTGTGGGTCAGGTCTTGCAGATCATAGCTGCAATGGAGCTTTGTAACACAAGAAAACTGTCTCTCCCTTTCTCCTGCACCATTTTGAAGGCAGCAGATCTTGATCAGTAGTTACTAAACCCTGGGGGAATTAGCACATTCTCTTTCAGATAATTGGGTCAGGAGAAGAGACAGTAAGACGACAGTGCAAACAGACACACAAGATTGGGAAATAGATTTGGGGAAATTGTTCCTAACAAGACACAGACACTTTAATCTTCTGCTATAGTTCAATATAAATCATACTGGCATGGACAACTTCCAGTAAGGCCAGCTGTCGTTCATGGAAGAGTCTCATAGCCCTCTGTCTCTGAAGTTGCATTTGCAGTTTTAGAGCTTCATCTTCCTTCTGTTTCGTTAAATGCTGCAGCTCCTGTTCCCGTTTAGCTCTGCAACACACAAATACATTAACAATTACCTTAAGTTGTACATTTCTTTAAAGTATCTCTCTTTTTCTTTGTGTTAGGTGGTCCAGCATTGAGAAAGAGAATCCACAAAACATTCTGTTATGCCAGCTGTTGGCTGCAGAATGACACCAAGCAATGAGAAGTCTCCTGCAAGCTAACAAATTACCATACTATCTATAGCCACAAAAAACTCTGAACCACTCTATAAAATCAAAGTATAAATCTTTACTTAGGATAAAGTTCTAAGGATTCTGAAGGGAATGATGCTTCATGTGGGACATTCACAGCCAGAATGGACTGGAACAACAGTTTTGATTCAATCATCTGCTGAAGAGGTAAAGCAACATTAGCCATCTGCTCCAGTATGCACCTTTTCCAGTTCATCCATCAGCATGCATGGCACCTTCTTCCCACAATACATATAATTATTTTTGTACTGACTACAAGAGTAGATCAGAATGTTGGCTGCCAAGACTCACTTCTTAATTTTGGAGGGATTTTTTTTTCTCCAGGAAATACAGACTGACACATTTGGTCTATCAGCTTTGTTAGAGAACACTAGGAAAGAATTTTCTTGCAAATTCTTTCTGATCTGTTCTAGATTTCATGTTAGGATGTTGCCCTGCTGTGCACTGAAAAACCCGCAGCAGAAGTTTAACAGATGAGACAGCTGAAAACTCAGCAACAGGCCCTATTAAGCTAATAACAAGTACACCAATGAAATACACAGCAAAATATCAATGTAGAGAATAACATAAAATGTGTAATATACTGATGCATCAATACCAATAATTACATAGACCACTTGGCCATGATCTCAGTGAAGTATGAGGAGGTGTGAGCTAAAGCTCCCTCTCCCTTCACTGCCTCTCCTCATCCCAGTGGACCAAATCTCTTCAGCCTTAAGACCTGAGAGTATACAACTTTACCCCACAACAAGGTAATAATGGGACTTCTCTGCTCCTGTTGCAGGAAAATCACTTCTCCACTCAGGACCTGAATACCCTAGCTGGGCCACAGCCCAGAGTTCTGCTCTCCTCTAGCACTTTCCTGGGGACAATGAAAGAAGTGCTTTAAGCACTAGGAAAGAAAACCAATGGACAGAGTGGGGGTATTAGGGATGCCAGAGGAGGAAAATGTCCACAGACTAGAACTAATGTCCAGCAATTCTGCTATTGCTGCATGGCACATACCTTTAGACTCACAGTACTAATGAGCTGTTTGTGTTTCCCATCACTAGTATAAATTGAACTATAATTTTTCTACCAACCATACTTTCCCTTGAGTCTCTAAAACTGGTTTGGGAGAGATTGGCATGGAAGCTGTTGTGTAAAAGAGATGCTCTGGATTTAAAGATCTGACCTTAACAGATAAAAAAGCCTCCACCACAATTCGACAGACCATAATCCTTCTGTAATGCAGACTTGAGGTGTGCCCACACCTACCTAAAGACACAGCTCATGATACATGTGATTATATCATAATGGTTTCAAGGAAACTAAAGGTTTTCAGTCCACACATTTCTGCAAATTAGAGCTGTAAATTTTTACATTTTTAATTCAGGTAATTAATATTTTAATCCAAATATTGTATTTCTAAGGCAAATGAAGTCACAGGATCAAACAAGACTTTTGATTCTATTTTCTTGATAAAACTCCTTTATCAAGAAATTATATATTTTGCCCATCAATTTTTATCAGCTTCAGTAGGTTGAAAACTACAAAAACATTTAATGAACTTCTCAGATGCACTTCTGTGAAACCAAGAGTGTCTGTCAGGTTTAAATTATTTAAATTATTCTTTCCTATGTACTCTGCAAAACACATTCATCCTCTGTTTCTCCTAATGATAAGATATATTTGCTTGCACAAGACCACAGTGTGACAGGGAACTGCCTCTGAACTAAAGTAAAACATACACAGAGTAAGATCTTAGCTTCCTTCTGCAGTTCATGGCACAGAGCAGCCTCCCTCTGGTCATCTCTTTAGGAAAGTAAAATGGTTTCCTTTTTGATGCATTATTAATAATAATTTTGCCATTTTAAATGTCCTACAATTAGCCATGAAACAGTGAAGTAGCTTCAAGGAGAGAGACTACAGGCTTTAACATTCACTGAGGAGACATTTCTGAAACCACAGTTTCAAAAGTTTACAACTTGCAGAGTTTAAGATCTTCCTCTGCAGCTGCAGGTGAGCAAAGTTTGGAGTTTCAGTCTTGGCAGTATTTAACCACACTTGTTCTAAAATAAATCTGTGAACATAACCAGAACCTGACTGCTAAAAATTAAAAGTCATCTTAAAAGCTCTTATGAAGTCATGTTTACAGTATTCCAAACACTATTTTTCAGCGTAATGTTTTGATGTAGACAGAAGAAAACCAACACTAGCACTGTACAGTTACTGTATTTGCTCAGTACTCTGGGACTGAGTGAGCCATGAACACACATAACTGTAAGGATATTAATAAGTTTCCATTCCTCTCAATATTAAACAAACACTTTCAAAAGTCCATTTAAATGACTCGAGAACTACTTAAAAGGCACACACTAATGCCTACAATATTGAAAATATGACACAAGGGAGTCAAGCAGCTTGGTGATTGCTGATAGTCTCATCATCCTTTCCCTGTTGCTTTTCCATATTATGTCTTAGCCCATCATCCAAATTTTCTGGGCTATAAGTTTGGCTTGCAGGCTTGCAAGATGCCTTATGAGGGAAGGAATATTGGCTTCAAGTGTATGGTGGATAAAAAAAGGAGTGGCAAGGATGTCTGACTGCAGCACCAAAGTGCAGTGACCAGTGTCCCTCAACAGACACATACATTGCTTGCCCCTGCAAATCTTTCAGAATTTAAAGATTACACCTTAGATAGTCCAATGGCCAATTAAGGCCAGTCTAGACAATCAAGTGCAGTTGTTTGCTTTGTATTACTTTGGTCACAATGCAAAGTGATTTGACAGTGATTTTAAAAAATCTGCTTTTGACACAGTAATGATCAATATGCAAAAAAAGTTTGAAAAACCTTGCTGTGGAGTCTGCACTTTAGATCTCTTAACCTATGTTAAGTTTAAACTAAATTTCTCAAAACAGCCTAACATGTGCTAACATTACTGCTGCAATCTAATTCAAGTGACACAAGCATTATTTACATAGCTTCCTTCTTTGCTGCTCGAAGGCAGAGGATACTATATCTAGGTCACCAAAGTAACTCTATTGAGAGCCAAAGATTTAAAAATTAATGAAGAACAAGGTCTTGCAAGCACTACACTGAGAAAGCACTATGGGCCTTGGTTTCTGCAGCACTCTGGCATGAGGAAGCTCCATGATAGCTCCAATATAATTTACAAAGCAATTTTGTGTCAAATTAACTGTGAACCAGTTAACTGTCCTACCACCAGTACATCATCTTCTAGTGCTATTTAGGGCAATCCCATGCCACACTTTCAGTTTTCCATATGCCACAAATTTTTACAGAAAACATGAAAGCACCACAGAAGTAAGTTGTTTTCACGGAGCAGTCTGGCATCTGGGAAAGGGACAGTTGGAGCTTTTGGCACCAGAAGTGGCAATTTGGAACTGCTGAAAAAGCACATTGTTTGGATGTTTCTGCAAAAAAATCTGTAGTGAAAATGTTCACATTGGCATTACATTACCTTTCTGTTTGAGAAGTAACAGCTGACTGGAAAAAGGCAGCTTCAAGATGAAGGGACACTTGGTCAGCCCAAACCTAGGGCCTGGGACATAGGAACAAATTCTCAGGAAAGCTATATCCAGGAAGGACAGGAAGGTGAATGGGAATAGCCAACATAGAATTATCACAGGAAAATCATGTTTGACCAGCTTGATTGCATTCTCTGATGACTGGCTCTGTGGATGAGGGGAAAGCAGTGGATGTCATTTTCCTCGACTTTACCAAGACTGTCATCACAGTCTCCCACACAGGGCAGGGCTGACACTCAGAGAAACCTCCACAGAAATAGTTCAATAAAAACCACATGAAGTTCAAATGGGAAATTCTACAGCTGGTACTAAATAACTTCATGAACCAGCACAGACTGGGCACCAACTACCCAGACAGCAACTCCAATGAAAAGAGGGGACAGACTGGACACAAGCCAGGAGCAAGGCCTTGCAGGAACAAAGGCTACAGATTACTAGGAAGATTATTTGGCTTTACTTGGCACAGTTGGAGCATTGGTCACACTCTACTGGGACCCCCAATGGAAGAGTAATGCTGATAAATGGGAGGGATAGAGACTGTCCAGAGACAATTAGGGCCATGAAACATAGGATATATAAGGACAGGCAAGGTGCATTTAGCCTAAAGGAAGGCAAGTCTGTCTCTCACTACCTAAAGAAGTGCTATAGAACTGACACAGCCAGATTCATGGGGGTGCTCAAGAAAAGGACAAGAGGCAGCGATAAAGAGTGCAACAAGGAAATGGATCAAATGAGATGGTAGAATCTCCATCCTTGGAGACCTCTAAAACTGGATGTGGCCCTGACCATCCAGATCCCATTTTGAGGCAGGGGCCTATTTCAAACAGGACATTGAATTAGATGACATGAATGTTTCCTCTTCCTTTGTGACTTGAGAAAACCCAGCCCAACCCAAACCCTCATACTAGATCCTATTCTTTACTGTTTTTCATAAAGTCATACTGTTTACCTGAAGCTTCTCTGTAAAATGATCACTGCTTGGGGTAGTTTTTTCAGCCTTTTCCTTGTCTGAAATCCCCGCCATGCTGCCTGGATTATACAAGCTGCTTGATGCTGCTTCTGAAATTAATAAAACAGTTGGTAGAATATTTTCCATGCATATAAAAACACTTTATTACTGCTTGCATAATTGGACAATCTCCACATTTGGCCAAATCCCATCAGTTTTCAAATGCATCAAATTTGGGAATTTAAGGTCTTACAATACAGTTATTATCATAAACTTTATACTTGGTCCAAAAGCAACTAATCTGATCACAGGTATTTATGCTCTCTGAGGTAAACAAATGAATCTACAGCACAAATATATATATATATATATAAAACAATATTAGAAATTTGTATTTAAATCACCTGAAGCACTTTCAAATGGTGATTCAATCAAAATTACTACAATAGAGAGGACAGAAAGACAAGTTTGGAAAAAGAGCAGCAGGAAAAAATGTTACATTTGCAGTACGATCAGAAGTCACTGAAATGCAAACATGAAAAAAAATCAATTCTATTCTTAAATGCATTTTAAAAAAACCCACAAACAAACTGAATCACCAAACACCCTGCTCTGTTGAAGATGAAAGCAGGTCTCTGCAAACATAACTGATTTTCATTGAAGTATTATCTCTGAGAAACCTGCATGTAATTTTATTTTTAAGATGCTCATGAAACACACATTGTCGCTTTTATTGGGAACACAGTCCAGGTGGTGTTCTTACTGCACATTTTCTGTATATGACTTAGTTCTATGTAAATGCTGCCTAGAATCCAGAGATCTAAATTTGCAACACTGATGTGAGAAAAGCAGATGCAGTTATTTTAATTGAATAGTTAGCAAAAAATTTAATTATTTTCCCCTATAGTTATATTGAAATCTATGGTAAATCTGCACAGAAAGACAATCTCTTGAGTCATAGTCCCATATCTTAATGACTGAGCAATTTCTTGATGTTTTAAAAAAACCCAATAAAATAAATTCAAAAAGCCAATTAAAAATTAATTAACATAGTGAAATACTAACACAGGTTTTCAAAAGTGTCTACAAAGTAATATAGTAAATCCATTCTAAACATACACAAATCACATGTAAATAGGATTTCACATGTAAATAGGATTTCACATCTGAAATTCACATTAAACTTCATCACCTGCATTTCTCCTTTTCCACTGGTTTGTTCCAAATACAGCAGGTCCAAGAGTTGATTGACCTCCCTGTCAAATCCTTTGCCGGTCCACTGTTTACTTAAAAGTCCTTTTAATCCTAAGATAAAAAGAAGCCAATCCACTAATGTGAATTTTTCTTTTCAGGCTTTCAAAGTTACAAACTGCGAATCAACAAATCAAATCTGATTCTATGTGCAAAGGAGTGTGAGATCTGAAGACCATCAGCCATCTTTGAGTGTCAATGCATAATCTTATCAAAGAATTTCTGGTGCTCCAACTATCACAAAGAAGTATTACCCAGTGATTTTATATGCCCAAGTCAGTATTGTGTTTTTATCACTAACAGTCAAATTACCAATGTACTTTCAGTAAGTCATTGTAAGGTGCTAAAGAGAATTAGCACCACACAAGTGCTGGGTGTTGTTATTATATACTCTTTTCATATTTTCCAGATGAAATTTATTCCTTTCTAATTGGAATTGTTTAATGTCCTACCTGCACAGCATAGTTTAACTGTGAATGCATGTACATCCAACCCATGAGACAAGAGAGCTTTTTGGGTTTGCAGTAGCTAAAAAGCACTCTTGTGCTCCCCCAACAACACACACACCCCCTATGCAAGCAGACAGTAATGTGTGCTAAAACGTTTGTATCAGACAAATCCTAGAGCCTAAGGGCTCTGCAGGGAGTCGGAGGGAAGAGGAAGGAAGGCAGGAAATATGTGTGTGTTTGCCTCCTGAAGAACTGCTGATTCAAGTCACTTTTCCATCTTCAAAACATTGTCCATAAGCATGTTCATGGACTGGGCAGCTCCAACACTGACATGTACTTACAGGATCTGGAGCACACAGAAATGGCACCTCTGTGGCACTACACACACCACTTGAGAAAAACAATGACAGTAAAACACTTCAGGAGAGAGGCAGGCAGGACTCTAAATGGAAACAGTGGGTGCCCCAAGACTGTCTGAGCCCTGCAAAAGCAGGGAGCCAGGCTACACAAAACCGCTCCCTCACAGAAAATGCTGCAGGTCTGACAACCACTTTCCAGTCTCTGTACAGACTACACAGCCATATGCACCTTTTGGCCACTAACAGGGAGTACCTCCAACATGCCTCACAGATGTGTCAACCCATGCAGGACAAAAGGCCAGGCCTTCTGGGAAACCTGACATAGGGACTGTGCTGGTCTTGGAAATGCCCTCACCTCCACCAGGCTGCTTTTGCTGCCAAAGCTCACACCAAAGCACCTCACACTGCCAACATCTCTGAGCCACTGTGAAGCCAAGGGACTTCACTGAGATGGCCAGATGGTGAAAATGCTGTAATGCTTTCTTTGTTGCTTTTATTCCTTAAAGTCTGTAAAGGATTCCAAAGCCTGAGTTAAAACTAAGAGAAGGATTCTAACTTCAAAAAAAAAAAAAAAAGTAGAGATAAAAAGCATTTATTTTTTCTTAGTGGAAAGAGGAAACATGTACAGGAGAGAGATGAAGAGTTTCTAAATGACTGTGGCATACTGTGATTCTAGAGCAAAAGAAAGCATCCTTTGATGGAGATCTGCACCTCTTCAGACAAGCCAGTATTCTACAGCTGGGATGATCAGACTATCATGGCAGCTTCCCAAGAATCCACAATGTGATACCAGCCTTAGGCACACTATACTTAATTGCATACCAAGGAATCCCTCCTCAGTTCTGTAGGCAAAGGGGTGGCAAAGCTGCTCATCTGGTTCAGAAATTTTTCTGGCTGGTACTGTATAATGAGTAGTCAGCACAAGTGCAAAAATTTGGAATAGGACATTTTTGCCTTGCATTCCCTCTTTTTACTGTCCTTGTCCTCAAAGGGCTGAGGCTGCTCACAAGTAATTTTGACCAACAATAACATCTAGAACATAGAAGACATGGCAAACACTATGCCTGTTCCTTAGTCTCTATGGGCATGATAGAATACAAAGAGGTTTCCTGGAGCTCCCTGCTAGGCTAGAGACAGAAACATTAAATGGGACACCTCATTAAAGAATGAATAACATTAAACAGATTATACACATACTCAGCCTCATCATCTGAAGGCACCAAGACAAAACGATAAACTAATTTCATGAATTCTTAGGAAGAGTTCATTCCCATTACTTGGATATCAAAAGACAGTCAGCTCCTGGATAACTAAACAGCCCTCTATCAGATCAGCAGGCCTGTAATAGCCAGGGTCAGCAGTTCACTCTAAGTAAGACTTTCATGCTCTGGATTAGTGAGCCTTAGCACTGTGGCAGATGTGACACACGGTTCTCTGACTGTGGCAGTTCCCGCACCCTGCCACTGGATCCCTCAACCAGCCTGCACAGGGAAACAGAAAGAAGCAAAAGCCCATCAGGTTGGAAGTGACAAAAAAGAGCTTTAAAAGACAAGTTGCCACATGCTAAGTCCTCAGTACACAGAAGAAAATAAATCTAAGAAACAGAAAGAGGTGCAGTACCTTAAACAGCAATGAAAATGAATAGAAGGAAAAAAAACCCACAAAGCAACATGGGACTGCAGTTTCCATCTGTACTGGAGAGTTATTGAACCACAATAGGAAACCTTTGTCTTTTTATTTTCACAGGGAATCTAAGAGGAGGCTCAGTGATTGCATGCTTACAAACCTTTGTAGCGAGCTGTGAATAACTGCACAAGCTGTTCGCAAAATTTTGCCACTAACAACAGCAGTTTTGTGGCAGCACTTCCTACGGCAGGATTGGTGGTAGAGGAAAGCTTATAAACAAGTTCATCCAAAACAGAGTGAAGGGTCTCTTCTTCAACTTGAAGCAAGACAGAACTTTAAAAAGAATAAAGAAAAAAAAGGGGAGTGGGACAGAACAGAATTGTTAATTGAAAAATGTGAGCTTTTAACAGTGTCTTATTTTTAGCTATGTCAGGCTATATACAGCAAACCAAGATACCCAGCTATCTGGACCAGGAATCTGATCCAGGCAGTACAACTGTTTCAACCAACCAATTGCCACTCTCTCAATTTAAGATTAAACCCCCAGCTTTTTAATGTTTTCTAGTTCTACTATAAAGACTAGGGAAAAAAACAAACCCAAATAATAAAACACAACAATGCTTGCATATGAAAAGATTTTATTTTACCAAGCAGTAACTACCTTTTATATTTATTATTAAGAAAAATAATGATATGAAAACTAACCTATTGATCCTCAAAATATTGTGTAACACAGACATCATTATAATTGCTGTTTCAACATCATCTGTTATTAACAACTGCAGGAAGCGATCATTTTGTAGTACTGCAAAAAAAACCAAAAACAAGCAAACAAGAAATCATGCAATCAGAACCAGACTTGAAAACACCATAAACCACATAAACTTCATCATAAACCATAGCAAGTAAAACCAGACACTGTTTCTGAAACAAACTCCCTCATTTTTTCCCACTGAAATTTACTGAGATAACTAAACTACTTCAACCTCCAAAAAACGTGCTGAATCCTGTTTTTTCTGCCTTTGGACATCCCTCAGGCACTGATGTTGCAAGGGAATTAAAGCTTTAAACCCCTTTATGTTACAATAGTACCCTTTCTTACAACAACAGTGGAATTAACACTGGGACAACAATACCCAAAAAAGTGAAGGACCTCAACCTTGACAGTTTGTTTACCCCAGGTTATTTAATGCAAGTCTACTGATGTCATTAAAGCACCATCTTTTTTATCCCAGTGTATCACTGGCTACATGTTCAGTAATTTTTCTGACCATGTGTGTTTTTAGTTACACTTCTTATGATCCTTAGGGTTCTGTCCAATACTAGAAACAAAACCAAATTCTGCTTTTAAAAGTCAGTGTGGTTTACATCAGTTTAAATGAAAGCTTGTTTTGGTCACAAATATATAGTGAAGTTTGTTAAATATTTGTAAAATTTCCTGTCATGGAAAAAACTTTAGACATCTGTCTCAAATTCTATCTACTCATCAGGACTAGCAATGTATTCTGGTCAAATTTTGGCATATTTTGATCACACAGAGGAAAAGATCAATTGTCTCTTATTGTAAAAAAACCAAGATTTTAAAAATATATAGACTTACAAAGAGAAATGACAGGATGACACTTTAAATATTTATCTCTGAAAGACTAGAAAGGGAACTGTTGAGTATCTCCCTTTTGATACTTGTAGTTGCCATAAACAAATGTTCAGGTGTTCTGTGCATTGACATTTCCCTTACCACATGCTGCTAGTTGAATATGCCCACCGAACAGCCAGCAGATGGCATCAGTTACTACTTGGAACCAATGTAAAAAGTCTTGTTTTTCTTTATCCTAAACAAAAGAGAAGTAGGTAAAAACATGTGTATGATCTTCACTAAGGACTCCATCTTGATGTCATGGGAAAGTTTGTATGCCTCAGGAATTTGGAAACCAAACTCCACCAAATTTCCAAATGAGGTTGGTGAAACTGTAGGAACCAGTAAAAACAAAAACAAAAACAAACCTAACTTGTGAGACCTTTGAGTTCAGAGGTCAATCAAGAAGATCTGAACATACTAAAAAAATGAAAGCACCCATGTGGGAAAAAAAAAAACCCCACAACAAGGAGAGAGAAATCTTGTTTACTCCTTAAAAATATTTCATACTATAGGAGGGATAAGACAAGTAATAGATTAGCAAATATGCATCACAGATTTAATGCACTAAGTGGGAAATATATTACTTTAAAGAAGGGTGGGAAAATTAAAAAAGGTACCAAGTGGCCAAGGACACAATCAAAATGAAAAAGGTTCCTGATAACTGGTATGGTGAAGCTTCAGAAGAACCTCCTAGTTGGAGGTCTGGGAGCAAACACCAAACAACTATAAAGCTGAAATTTGATCTGTTTGCCAGACTACATCAAGTGCTTGCCTGTGATAGCACTGGACTGGAAAAAAAACATAGACTCAATCACAGAATGGTAGGGTAGGAAAGGAACAAAAGTCCATCTTGTTTCAGCACCACTGCCGTGTGCTGGGACATCTTCCAGTAGACCAGTTTTATCAGAGCTTCATGGAGCCTGAATGCTTCCACAGATGGAGCATCCACAGATTCCCTAGACAGTGTGTCCCAGTATTTTACCACCCTGATAGCACAGAATTTCTTCCCAACACTAAATTCAAACCTCCCTCTTTCAGTGTAAACCATCACCCCTTAAACAGATGAACATTCCAGTCTGTACTCCAAGTGTGAGCCACAGACTATTAAAAATCTGGAATCTTGCTGTGTGGAGCAGTGAAAGGGATTTTAACAGTATCACACTCCTGAAAAATGTTAAAAAGCACATAGTCATATATCCCACATTAATTGAGCTTCCACAAATGAAACCTTGGGAAGCGTATTCTTAGATCCCTGCTGGAGCCCCAGCCCTCAGTCAAGGTTTAACTTTGTATTCGGTTCATACTGACAAGGAGAGATACAAAATAACAGTAATATGTTAAGCTGTAATATTATCTGCTCTGTGTTTTAATATTATCTGCTCTGTGTTTTGGCAATATGTCAGTTTCTGAAAGTTATTTCACAACTTCCCTCGACTTCAAAAACCTGTACAAAAAGCAAAAGAGAGAAGAATAAACTTCAAATCTCCACTGCTAGAGTGGGATTTCCAGAATTCCACTGAGCAAGCATCAAGTCTGGGTGCCCAGTCACCTCTGAGACCATGAAGTTTAAAAGCCAAAGTACTAATTATAATGTAGACTGCATTTGCATTCAAAAGAAATCTTTGCCCACAAGCATGACTCAAGTAGTATGTAGGCTGAGACATAATAAGAAAGTATGGGGGAAATTACATATTGTGGATAAGAGTCTCCTGAGATGTCATTTAGGAAGCTTCCTTCTTAAGCACAAAATGCACTTCTCAAGTACTGGACTAAAAAAAACCCTATGTTACTGCATTGATGCTTTCTGAGAATTGATTGTCTGCGCTGTCTATCACAATACTTTGTAGGAAAACTTTGGCTAAGTGCAAGAAGCCAGTGAGCCAAGAAATGAGATAGTATGGAAAAATGAGGATATTAAAAGAAACTGTCAGAATCCAGGAAGTTGGTTATTTAAATTACTTGTGGGTTTTTGTTGGGGGTACTTTTCCTTCTGATTCTAGAACTCAGAAGCATGAAGGAAACTTGCTGAGATAAACCCTTCTTCAGTGTAAAAAAACAGGGAAATGTGAGAAAGTGTTTAAATCTATAAACTCATGAAGTCTGCTTTTGGCATTCTCCATGTGCAAGTTCAGAAGCAGTGAGCATTCTTGGATTTTTTTTTGCCAAATATGCAGCAGAAATTGAATGACAAAACAAACTTCAACAAACATGATTTAAAATCTTAAGACTTCCTAAATCATTTTTTGTAAAGCTGAATAAAATTAGTGAGAACTAAGTAATTTTGAAGGCTGAACTAATGATATTCAAAGTTACGACACTACCATGACTGGGATGCTGTCTTTTGTAGGCTTTTTTTTTTCCTCTTATACTGCTCTAATTCTTCAATCCTTCCTATAATTGCACTCCTTCCCTCTACCTTTAAAACTTGTGGAATGTAGTAGCCAAACTATCTAAACAGGCCTATGGTAACAGAGTGGCTTTGCACAAGTCATGGAGTAAATGCTGTACAATGACAGATTTCAGATTCAGATCTCAGAGGCATAAGAAAAACTACAGCAATTTCTGGAAAATAAATTTTCATAATACCATGTTCCTAAAATAATATCCTACTTATCCAACACATGACCTCAGAAAGTTTGCAGGCATTCTCTGCTCTTTTAACTATGAAACTTAAATACCTTCATTGCTCGGATAAATCGTGCTTGCAAGCGTTTTCCCAAAACCAGCAGGCTGTCTATAGCTGAAGGAAGAAACTTCTTGTAAAATTCCTCAGAATCTTCTTTCACTTCTAGCCCTACACAACAATGGCTGAAATGGAGTAAAAAAAAAAAAAAAAAAAAAAGAAAGAAAGAAAAAGGGGAAAAAAATCAACCTGAATAGTCAAAGGCCTGTTTAAACAACTTTGAATGAATGTCACGTCATTGGAGGAATGCTTCAGTGACATGGGACAATTCACCCCTGAACAACAGCTCACTGCTGTGACTGGCTCCAAGGTGGCTGCCTCCAAGGAAGAGCAATCACTCACAGGTTGGAGATACGGTCTATTACTAGTAATACGGTCTATTACTACTTATTATGGCATTTCTCAGTTAAAAACATATCAAAGGCACTTTCTCCTTTAGCCTCATAGAATCTGTTCAGGCTTGTTCCATATTCTAGGGAAGGGCTCTGATGGTCATAAGGAATAAAAAAAAGGCAAAATAGAAGGGTAGAAAAAATACTGATAAAGAAAGCCCAATGACGAAGGGGGAACGCATCAGGCGGTGAAAATATGCAGAAGAAATATACCACAAAACCTTCAGTGAGCCTGTCTACAACTTGTCTCAAACTGAGGAAAGCATGTGGGCTAGAGATCAGTTCCTCTGATCTCAGCTCTCTTATTTTACTCACTGCAACACGTCGGTTGTTTCTGGAAGACTTTTTACAAGAAACTGCATGCTTTACAACTGGTAAGTTGTTTCAGTTCTGATTGCAGAATACCACTGATACCATTGCAACAAAAGAGTCTTCCTGACTCTTTATGAATTTTGCTTTCTGATATCTTATCTAGGCTACGTTAGCTTTTTGGGAATGCACACACATAAAGATGTCTACCAAAGCCCTTGGAAAACAAATTCTAGGCATGAAGCTGAGATTCATCTAGCTACAAAAGGACATTTTTACAGCTAAAATAAATTTCAGTATTCTCTGCAACTGAAAGAACTTACAGGGGATGATTTAAGTATCACACTACTCTGGTGATAACTCTTGCATCCCTTAGTGAAATTCCTCACATTAAAAATTCATACAGCAGATATAGCATAAATAAGAGATGGTCACATAATTACTTCATGCCTTAGAATTTTACTTCCTAGTTAAGCCAAAACTAAGTACAACTTGAGGAAAATTTGAAATGCATTATTTTTCCTGACATTTAAAATTGAGATTAGATCACTGGGGGTTTGAGTTTAAAGTTTTCTTATTTACAACACCATTCTCACAATATCACCACATCAGGTCATCTAGTCTGTATGAACTGTGTCATCTACTATATTTAAAAACATAAATAGATACTTTGAATAGGGATATTAAATAAATATTTAAACACAGTCAAGCCAAGCAGTGAGTCAATCAGGCTGAAGATCTTTGCAAGATGAAATCTAAGCAAACAAAATAACAATTTTTAAATAACCACAATTCAAAATTATGTAATTACTGGGTAAGAGCTATTTCACTGGTGAGTACTGTTCACAGAAAAGGTAAAGCCAATACAAACCCTGTTCCCACCATACTGTTCCCCCAGCTCAGTGAAACACAATGCAAATGAATTAAACACGGCCAATTAGGCTATGCCTGACCCCTCTGCTCTTGACTGCTCCCTGCACTTTAACCCTGGCCTTTCCTGAACAACAAGCCTTATTCTGGATGGGAGCCAATGTATTACAGCTTGAAAAGAGAAAGAGCAAGATGAAAGGACAGAAGGAAAACTGGAAGAAAACTTCTTAGCTTTTTTTTTTTTTTTAATTTTTTTACCTTAGTATCTCTGCTAGCTGGGCAGCAGTAGCCCAGGCTCCATGTAGCTGAGAGTGGTCTCGCTTAAGGACCAGCAAGCAGTACTGAGTAAGACCATAATCATACAGATCTTGCTTAATTTTATTTAATTCTTCACATCCTAAGGAAGGACTACTTAAAATTCCTGTGGGAAGAAAGCAGGAGAGAGACAAAGAGGAACATAAGATTCTGATGTGCAAGGGTTTTTTTCTTTTTCTAAAATGTAAGAAGAGTATATATACACAGAGCCAAGATCCAGGATTAAAGTAATTGTAAAAGTGCTAACAACAGCATGAAATATTTTGTCAGAAATTTCTGCTGCTACAGCTACAACTCATTTGTAAGATTATATGACAATTGGGAAGGATAGCTAAACTTAGGTTCCCATTTTCTCTACATATTTAGTAGCAAAACATACATTACCTGGGATATGAACCATTTGTATGAATTTCCTGGGCTAGATAAAACCACAACCACTGAGAAACCTACAGCTTCCTTATAATTACATCCCAATTTAGAACAGGACCTGACTTGTTTCAACTGTTCCTATGAGCAGTGGCTGTAGAGCCGGAGGAAAGACAGGGAAGTCACACAGGAGCTCATGATCTTGTTTCTATGTTAAGATTTAAAAACTGAATACTGACAACCACCCTGTTTCTCTGCCCAAAATGCATTGGGAGAAATGATTTGGCCAAGTGTAAGATCCCTGCCTGTATCAGCAGGGAAAGGGCCCACATTATCAGAGTGACAGCTGAAAGGCAGAAAATTCTGTCCATTTGCTCCTCAGCTCCTCCTTATTTTTGCCAAGTCAAATGCCACTCTCAGGAAAAGCTGCTGTATCAATCTTTCTTACAGTTTCAGAAAAATCTTTTGTATTTAAGGAAGAAGACAGGAGAAGGACTGGCCATAGTTCACCAGCTCATCCTTTTATTTTAGGAACGGCATTAATTACCCTTTAACTTCAGCAGCAGCAGGGGGATGTCCTGTTCTGTGCTCTCAGTGATCTGAGCAGCCAAGGCCAGGACCTGGGGGTCCGTGGCTGCCATAAGGAACAGCCAGAGGCACACACCACCATCGATTGCAGCCACCTTCCTTTTTATGTTAAGGCGCGGGGTCCTCACGCCACTACTTCACCACCAGCTCCTGCACCACCAGCTGGAAGGTTCGGGCCGCAGGACTCCCCCTGAGAAAGGAAACAAACATGGAGGGAGCCCCACTCGCGCTCCCTCCCGAGGCCGCGGCCAGCCGGACCGGCTCTGCCGGCAGGGCGCACCTCCGGCCG